GAATTCAATTTAAAAAGGAATAACATCTTGAAAAAAGAGGGGAAATGAAGCTTTGACACCAAACGACTCATCATGACAAATAATACATGGAATGTCACTTAGCTCATGAATTAGTCAATATTCTTGAAATTTTTTGATAGTCTACAATTCAGACTTTGTTAATCTCTGTGTTGGTAGGTTGTCATGCAAATACAATTTGAAATATTTTGAGGTTATCAAAATTGAAAGAAATTGAAGAAAAAAGCAAGTCTGGCCTGTTTGTGTGCATTCTTCCCCATCAAAGAGAAATTAAAAGAATAAGAACACAATTGTAATTTCTCAATATTTCCTTTGCTCCACCGACCGACAAACCCCCCCCCCCCCCCCCCCCCCCCCGGAAAAATCACATCATTTACATTCTGTGTTACAGCAATAACATAACCTAAAAATATAAACAACTCTTTAAGTTGTTTAATAACAAAATGGTAAGTGAATGCTTTAGTTATCAAATAGCAAATCTTGCCAGTATGAATGGTTTTCTCACAGCCTATGGATATCTAGAAGAAGAAAAAAATAAGATAAATTCATTAAAAAGCTACATAGACCTAATATTTATGTTTTTTGTGATCTTCTTTCTGCATTATTTCTTTTTTTATGGACTAAAGAATGCAACAACTTCCAACATGGATAGGAAAAGTGTGTACTTCCCACATCTACTCTATGTAACTAATGCTGGTCAATGGCCTTTAGCTCAGTAACACCCATCTGCATAGGAACAAAGAAGATACGGCAATCTGGCGCCGCTCGTATGTGAAGCCTGCGAGTAATGACAAAATGGGAGGGTAGTCTTTCCAAATGACAACTTACGGGCAAGGAGACGCTAACATCAAATCAATGCCTTGTAGTAGTAGAATGTATGTTTAAGACTAGGTTAGAGATGGATGCCATTTGCCCCCATCTACTCTAATGGGATGTAAATTGTGAATTACTGCTAACAAAGCAAATTCTAACATATAGCTAAAGCTCACTAGTAGGAGGTGCTAATTCAACCTGTTATCAGTATTCCATGCAACGATTTAGTGAGCATAATGTTTGTTTTCTTCATATTTTTGTGTTGTTGTATTCTGTATGGATATTGGGTTTTCTTTCACTTGCCCAGTCTAATTTTTGTGACTACCCTATTTCTGCAGATTAATAATAAGAATTGAAAGTGCTTTTTGTCTGTGAATCACTAGCAGACATTAATATTAGACCATTTGATACAGTTGTGCTAAACATGAAAACAAGAAAAGTCCTGTAGAACACCTACCATAAACTACTAAATACAACACTTTCCCCTAAAAATACAAAGGTCTTTCCTGAAAAGTAACCCGGTATGGCCGTTTCAAATCCCACATAAATGGTGCAAACTCTCTGACCCCGCATACTTCACCTGAACCCCTGCCTTTCGCCAACAATAACTACCCATTTTTACTCGCTTTGAATTTTTATACCATTCCAAACACGAGCAATACCCAATACGGAGGCCGTGGGTCTTGGGAATTTTACACGTAGACAAATGTAATAACCCAAGAGCTGTTTCAACATCATCATTGTCATTGCTTTTGCTGTTGTTTTATTTTTGTTCTAGTTTTGTCTTTTCTTTGTTACTGTTATTGTTATTGATCAACAGAAAATCAAAGAAGAAAGCAACTCACAAAACCTTCTATTTCATTTTTCTATTACCTCTTCATTTTATTATCTATTTCATAATTTTGTCTGAATATCGTGCCCGCTCTTTTCCAAACTCTTGGATATGCCCCAGGTCTATAAGGGTCTATACTATCCTTCCTGTTCTAAAATTACATCTTGTATTGCTGATCATCAGAACACTATAGTTCATTCGATGTCTGAATTTATAAATTTCTCAACAACAACAAAAGAAAATGTGTAAATAAATAAGGGCAAGGTCCAAGTTTATATACCAGCATTTTGCTCATATCGTGTCTCTCTACTATCTGAAATCTTTTAAATAAAAGAATATTTAATTTTCAGCTTATACCAAAAACTATCATTAAAATTTTGTATAAAGATGCTGGTTTGACTTAAATGAAATTACAATTTGTTCTTCTTGAGTCCTTTTTAATGCTAAATACTTTCTTTATTTTTAATGCTAAATACTTTCTTTATTTTTAATGCTAAATACTTTCTTTATTTTTATACCATTTTTTCTCCTTTGTTTGCCCATTCAATATTACATGATGGATTAAGTTCAGTACAAGATTTATAACTATAAATTTATCTAGGACTGTGTTTTCAACAACAACACAAGATTCTACAGAGAATTTGTGGTGATTTTCTTGTCTTTTAATTATTCCATGGAATATATAAGAAATAGATCAGAATTTCAAACACTCCCATTGTCATAAAAAAATCATTCTATCGCTTTGCATTCACTATCATCTATATTGAACCAAATCAATGTGGTGTGCCCTGAGAAAGATTTTTGGCCTGAAATAGACAATTTTCTAAGCTCACAAAATCAGTGATCTTTGACGATTATGAGAATGGTCTGTAGCTCATCAAAAGAAGGGAACATTGTACCCCTAATACCATTGAAGGAGAACTCTTCCTTGGATTGATAACATTGTCTCGCATTCACTGAGTACTCAAGATAGATCATCCCTTCAAAGTTGATATCACAACACAGAATAAATGGCCTGAAATGATTAGTTGATCATGCTAACACAAATATTGATCCGGCTTATCAGAACAGATTTGACAGCTATTTTATAGTCTAACAAATAATTGTACATGTATATTTCAAGCTTTATGATTTTGTGGTCAATGGCGACAGATAGAACTAATTTCAAGCACGATTATGAAAAATTTTCACATCGACACACCTACATGTAGTTGTAATGTAAAGTATCTATAGAAGTGTAAATATTGTTTCTTTGTTCATTTTCTCCGGATTGTAACCCACAACTTCTCCGCCTTGGCAAATATTTATTCAAAAATTTTGAAACAAAAATTTATGTCAATCAAGGGTTATGTTTTGCTTCGTTTAATCCTAACTGAGCAGAAATAGAATTGTTATCTTTTTGAATGACAATGAATGACATACGCGAGCAAAATTTCACTCTTTATTATCTCTCCCTATGTACATGTATCAAAATCTAAATCTGAAAATCTCACCGCACACTATAAGATCTGACTAAGTTCCGATTTTGAAAGAATTTACAATATCATTTGATATAAACATTCAAACATGCAAAATTTTAATGGTAAATAATATCTACCGGTAAATTTCAAAGAATTACAAGCTTCCTAGGAGAAGAAGGAAAAAACCAATTGACTCAGAATCATAGTGTCGTCACACAGGTTGTGTGATTATCTACGATTTGAAGACTAGAAGAGATAATTCATCCAAAATCTGATTGTTGGTATTCTTATCATTTTTAGAACCTAAATCAGGAAAATGGTGCTTGTTTTGATTTCCATATCTAATTGAATTGCCTTTTTTTTGTTGAAAATTGGATCGTATAGTGTGCAAAGGGCCTAAGATTATAAAATTGATTTGAGGGATGTGATTTTGAACTTTCAGATAATGACATAGATAAAGCCAAATAATAACAAAAAATTATTACCAGATGCTGTCGCATTATCTCTTGTTATCAACTGAACTCTGTTGAGGTCTAGTCTCAAAAAACCAAACAATGGGTTCTTCAGGACTCATTGCTTTTGGAAGTCACATCCAAACATCCTCTCTTCCTTTTTATTATTTGGAAAAACGGATTAGCCACAGTCCAGAAAACAAAAACAATGCTTACAATGGAAAAGTTAGTCGTCTGTCAATCATTTGTGCCCTTTTTTTCCATGTTTTGTTTTTGAAAGTGTAATTTAAATGCTGGTGTTTGTTACGATAAACTAAGAAGTTCAGAACTTTCCACTGATCAGCCAACAAATTTATACACAATGAACCCCATTTCAATACCAAAGGCAGATACACCACAGCCTAAAGGGTGTTAACTTTATGTAAATTTAAATGAGTTAAAAAAATAAAAATAAACGCCCTTCTGGCTACAAACTGGCAATATCAATTGTATAAAAGGCACATGTTGTGCTTCAAGTAATAAGTGTACTACAAAGGAAGCTTATAGGTCATGCATGATTACAAGAAATCATCTACACTTGACCAAGCTACCAATACTAGACGCTCCAATGAGGCATTCAAAATCTAAATATACATTCACGGAAGATAAACTAATGTTTAACCTGGTCATCACAACTAATGCTTAAAGGCATGTGGTTTTTACTAAAGGGTGTGAAGAAGAGGAAGAAAAGTCAAGTTTGATTTCCTCCTAACATCAGTTTTTATTTAAAGATCAAACGTGGCCTTTGGGTAGCAAGGGCCTAGTTGATGTGACAGGTCATCTCTAACAATCAACATCATTGGATTCCCCATGTACCACATTGCCCTTTCTCAAACGAAAAAAAGGTCTGGGTGTACATATTACTGCTATTTATGGAATTCACATAACATGTTATGAATTTTCAAGTTCATCATTTTAAGGCCTAAAAAAAAAAATGTTGTATTGCCCTTTTTTTTTTTCTTTACCGTTTTTTAGAGAGAAAAAATGTATTAAAGCATTAAAAACTGAGAAATAGCAGCCCAAAGAGGGAGTTAATGTAATTTGTTTTCAATATGGCAATGTTTCCGGCTAAATGTTTAGAAAATTCATGGTGCACACTTGCGCAATCTTCTTTATCATGCTGTTGGTAGACAAGCAATATTTATTCACTTTCTGTTAATTCAATTATTAAATTTGTTATCACTTTTTACATTAAATTAGTCATGACATTCCAGTTTTTCAAGATCCACTACAGTGATTTCCCCTAAATAAGTCATCTCCATCTCAACCAACAGGCAATGCTATGCAATGTTGAGTATTTGCAGTGAAAGTATGTTTGTGTAATAACAGCAAATTATTTCTTTCTTTGCAATACATGAAAGAAAAGGAAAGCCATCCTGAACTCACCTGGATATTGAAGAACTAAAACAGCTGTGTTACATGTGGAGATTAGACTCCTGTAACAGCCTTTTCTTCTTGGTATGATTGACCAGTTCCAGTTCAATCTGTGGAGAAAATGAAAGGGGAAAAATGGGGGAGGAATATGAAAATTTAAATAAAATTTGACAAAGCAAAGATTCTTTGTTGTAAACCTATGTTTGTATGGGATGTGCTTGGAAATAATGATTGATAATTTATCAATTTATTATTCATTTTTTTATAACTGAAATGACATAAACAAGAACAGATGTATGTGTATATTGTTTAAATAATGTAGGGCAATATTCTACAAGGCATGGGTCCTGTTTATCAGTATCTATCTCTCATACCAATGGGTTATTTTAGTTCTCTCACTTCAATTATACAGGTGCACCAGTATATATTTTTCAATATCGAAGATTCTGTAAGTCATGAAAAATACATTTGTACAACCATTATTATTTCTCAATCTGTATATAACATGAAATGAGAAAATAATGCTGGAAAAACTGATATATATTGCAACACAAAAAGTACAGACCAATATGATATTATGCTATAAATAATGCTACAATTAAAATTTCAGGAAATTCAGGTAAATTAGTGGGGGGGATCATTCTCTTTAAGGTTATTTTATAAATTGTGAACCCTTTAACCCAGGCAACTCTGCATGAATAAAGATCAACTCATAACCCAAATTTCCATTCTGAAAATACATACAAAATATACTACAGGTGTAGATATCTTTTCAACCTTAAAAGAAATCTAAACATAACTTCACATTATTATGATCTAGGATCTTTATCAAAACACTTAGAAAATGTAGCAGTTAGAAATAAATACAATAACTGCAGCTTTGTGATTGAGTGGTTTAATTGCACTACACTGTCATCCTCACCACATATGGATACAGATTATCACATATATGGGAACAAGGAAATGACATATTTCATGAATCAAAATGATTTTGACAATGCATAGTTAGAGAAATCAAATCAGAATCTAACATGTTCAGCAGAGTTGAGAGCTAAGCCTACTTTCTCTGGCCACACAATCAAAGCGCCTTTCCCCCAAATACAAATGAACTCTACAGACAGGCAGGCAGGCAATGGCAAACCAGCCATTGTTATCTCACCCGCCTGCCCTCCCACTCTTTCTCTCTTTCCCCGTCTCTATAAAACAGTGGATTCCCCTCCCGCCCGTCCGCCCGAGCCCGTCCGTTCGGATCGCGTGTCACAGTCGGTACGTTTGCGGGGACAGGCTCGGGCTCGGGGTCAGAGAGTGGAACTGATGAATAGCGAGCGGTGCTGCAGCTAGCAGAGCAGCCCCGTCGGCTCCCAATTTATTAGCCAGGCCATTGACCCACTCTGTACTTTAAGTTATGGATGCAAAGCGCACATGGGGATAGTCTCACTTCAAGACACCAGGATGCTGCAATAGGCATTCTGAATCTTAATGATGTATAATTGCTGTTCATTATTGCCAAAACTCATGAAGGAGGTACACATTGTGTGCGTGAATGAATCCCATGATCGGGGTAATAATACTATCTGTCAAGCACTTAGAGATGGTATTCTGTATTAATCGCCATATACATCCAGATTTATTATTACCATTTTTATCTTACCAATGACTTAAATCTCCACAAGTATAGCACATGCAGCATGTCCTTATGTCCGATGATCGAGAAACGTACACTTACTGCATTTATAAGCTTATTCTACTCCATATGAGAGGTTTAAAACTACAGTTTAGATCATAAATTTAATTAAACCTCCATTGTGAATTCAGGCCTATTACTCAAGAGAGTGAAGGTTTTATTCTTGGTATTAAAGCCATGAATACCTGTCTAGAGGTTGATCATTATTAATTCATGTCTCTGTTATCAAATGTCTCTTGGAGTGTAATTGAACCATGGATGTAACCTCCACTTGCCATATCCAAAATCATTTAATTGACCTTTCATCCAGCGTTCATTTCAATGATGTACAGAATAATGTCTTCTATCTTTCGCAAATATCACTCAACTATCTGTCCATCTCTCTAATTTGCTCCCATCCGTTTTCCCCCCTTTACAGCTTTTGTTTCTTCTTGCTATATGACTATATCATACATACGTGTACATATTGTTGATATCTTTATCTCTCTCTCTCTCTCCTTCAATTTTTTAATTTGTTAATGTCTTGCAATCCATCAACATCCCAGCAATATATGCATATGTAAAAGTCAGTTTTTAGAATATCCTGAAGCATTTAATACCGCCCACAACCTATTGCTAACAGAAAGAGAGGGGGATAAAACGAGAGAGCTGGTACTAAGATTTTGAAGACAAAAAAACAAATTTAGGGTGACTAACAATAAACAGTTCATAATTTACTTTCACTTAATAGGAAAGCTTTCCAGGCTTGTGTAAAGGCTAATCGCTATCCAGAATCCAGATGTTATTATCAGCAACCTTCTGAAATCACTAATTTGTCGGTTCTATCAATATGTTTTTATGTTGTAGTAACAAAATCTTATTCCACACCTTAAATGGCGCTTTCAAAAAAAATTACCCAAATTACGAGATAAAATCTTCTACACAAGCTGTTAAGTCTCTTCCGGTAGATCTCTGTTTCAACTGATTAGCATGTACTTTGTACACCACCTAGCCCTGACCTACGTCTAGTAATAAAACCATTGAAAAGAATAATTGTTCAACTTTTACTTTCTCTACAAATTCTATTAGTATTATTAGTGTCTTCCACGTACATGCAGAACCTACATATGAATAAAAATGAAGCTATTTCAGTTGACCATAAAAAACATGACGAAACAAGGAGAAATTCATACACGGATGCTAAGAAATACCAGTTCAGGGACTGGTTCAAAACCATTGCAAAATCAAGCTTTGGCGCCTTCCCGCTCGTCATTAATTATACCACCATAATTTGACACTTGTTGCATTTAAATATCAATTACCAATTCACTATCGACCTTGTAAACCTGAAGGGCAATCATGACTGTTCGACCTAGCTCATGGCAACGCAAGAGAGCCTAATAAACACAGCAACAATGCCGGCCTTTGATGTTTAGTTGTCATGTACGTTTCATTACCAGCACCGGTAATTGTTTTTTCATAATACGGCCTTAGGATTAATCACTCGTGCACGTTCAAAACAAGCGACTATCAACGGACTAAATGTCATTACAAGAAAAGGTTGAATCCCTACCATATATTATGCACCTTACAAAAACAATGGTCAACTTGATATGTCACACAAACAGGCTACGATGTGAAGTGTGCCTTATGAAAACATATTTCTACCAATTACTGCATAATATGAAAATATTCTTTGTTAAAAATATATATAAATATTAAAATCAATTAAAAGACACAATCAAGCCTGGACACAATACATATTCTTGTTTCATGTTATATCATCATCTGTGATTATAACAATATTCAACCCCTTGTGAACCTTTTATGAAAGAAGATAGCACTTCAAAAAGAAAAATCCACAAATAAATTCAGAGACCAAATAAAAGTAACTATATATTTGGAGTTTCCAATACAGAGGCAATAGCACCCTCTTTAGGTTGGGACATGCACATGCATCATTTATCATGGATTGGAATCTAGTTTTCCAAAATAATTAAATGTAGGCCTGTTGTTATTTCTTGCTTGTTTGCTCATTCTCTTGCTAATGCCCCCCTCCCCCGTTTTCTCTCTCTCTCTTTCTCCCTCTCCCCTCACCCTCTTTCTACCCCTCCCCTTCCTATCACAATCTCCCCTCGCCCTTTCCCCCACCCACCCACCTCTCTCTCTTTCTCCATTTCTCCATATGTCATATCTTTTATTTCTTTTTCTTTCTTCATGCTTTTCCCACTGTCTTCTGCTGTATCTTTTTTTCTCTCACTACCTTCCTCTTGTTATCTTCATCTTTCTATCATCCTCTTTATATCTTCATCCTTGTATATTTCTTTTTGTACACGCACAAAACCTGCATCTTCCTTTCTTTATTAATCCAATTCTATATTTCTCTTCCCATCTCCCTCTTGCTCTTTCTCTATCTTTTTTTTCTTTCTGTTATCACCATCTCTTTTGTCTATATCTCTGTCTTTCTTCAATTTTTTCTTCCTCCTAACTTCTCCTCTATAATTTTCGTCTTTACCTGGTACAACATAGATGTACGATGTAACCAACTTGTCACTAATTTAAGAGGAATTACAATTGAAAAACATTTAAAACCATCAAATCAAAATATACTATGCAAAAGGAAACTAATGCATTCCAGTTCACTTCATACAAGAGGCTTACAATCATGAAACTACCTTGGAAGTGCCTGTGTGTCAGGAGTAATTTAGAATATAGATAATACTTGTCCCATTCTTAGTTTCTAGCTGACCAATCTCACATGATGCTTGGTGTCATATGGCCTAACGAAGCATACACGTACATGTCATACTCACATCCCTCAATGATTTTGAGAGAACCATTAGGTTCATCATTGCAAGTACCTCCAAAGTGGAAGATTGATTTTTGTTTTTCAATTGAAAAGTTTTTAAAAAATAGTCAGATATTAAAGGCATTGTTTAACAATGTTAAAATCTGAGATGCATGGCCCTATGTGTTATCAGTGTCTGTGATGTGGTGTAATATTGAAGCCCTACAAAAGTTGCACTTCAAAATGATCATGAAGTACCTCACAAAAGAAAAAAAATCTTTGAGTGACCGGTTTTACCATACTCACTTTCCCCAATAGACTGTAGTGTTATAAAACTGTTAGGCGATCAGCTTCTAAAAGTCAAGGAATTCCTGATTGACCTAAAGGTTTATAATTATGATTGCAGCATGAGCTAAATCCAAGATTTTGTTTCAGAATCTGAGGCAAGGATACCCAATCCCTTTGAAACATATTTTTATATTACAACTGACATCATGATTCCTACAACTGATATATTTTTTGTCATTTATGTTTTGAATCCCATTTGATAACTACTGTAGTCCTTGTGCCTTTTACAATTATATTTTGAATGAGGTTTTTCATTGTTTCATATACTATAAAATAATAATCATTTCCTGTTTCTGGGAATGGCGTTTGCCATTGATATGCCCGTGGCCTTTGCAAATCCCACCATATTTGAATTTGTTTGTGTTTCATACTTTCTATTTTCTCTTTCAATTATATGTTGTCATTGCGATTGTTTTTTCATTAAAATGTGAAAATAATATGAATTTAATTTAATTGCATTGATTTAACATGGAGAAGATGCTATATATTTTGGTAAAATCATCAGTCTGAAAGTCACATGAACGTATTGAGAAGCAAAAAAAGAGAACACAAAGTTGAATGGTGAAAAGTAAGTAATATCAGATGTTTCTTCTATATGAAGTACAGATTACTTGTTCAGAAGCAAAACGGAAACACAAACGTGAACACTGACAGGCTCATGTAAGAATGGCATATTGTATAGTCCAGAACTAAAATGGAACACAAATTTGAAGCAATACTGACAGACAAATACATGCATCAGTATTTTCTTCAGTACAGAACTCATAATGTAACATGGATTTGAACACTGACGGGAAGTGCATGTGAAACTTCTTTCCTAACCTCCCATCCTCCTAACATTAACTTCATCAGATCAATGACCTAGGCTCACATCTGCCCCACATAATTCAATGTCGGTTCACGGCCACACTCCGATGCTTCTTCCCATCTTTTCATAAGCTCCCAGCTTCATTTGGCTTCATACTGTCGCTTCGCCAACCGGTAGCAGGCAGAAACATAGCCAAGGGCGAAACAGGGGTGCATCCATGCCCCCTTCTTGCTTTAAGAACCCCCCACTAATAACCCTCAACTCTTTATTCACCACTGCTCATTCTCTATTCATGTTTAATGTAAAATACCTTTTCAGCTCCCTCCAACAAAGGCGAGGCAGAGCCGGAGCGTGGCAGAGGGGGATTGATGTATCCCTACCCGAGCACACTGGGGGGAAATGTCACAACACTCCACTCCCGTACGTACGTACGTATGGAATGAGAGATACATACCCTCTCTATTCAAAACTGATGGGTTTATTAACTTGATTCAGATACTGAATAAGCCATGCAATGCTGATGAAGGTTAATGGTAGGGAAGGAGAGGAGAGGGCGGCAAAGAGTTTCATGTATATGTCTATAAATATAAATATACATATATATATATATATATATATATATATATATAGACAGAGAGCAGTTACTTTGTATTTCAGAGGATAAATCTTGAATACATTTCCTGTCTAATGGGGAAAATGTCAAAACTAACTATAATTTTAATTTTTTAAGAGATTTTGTTTCACCTGGTGTTTGTTTTGTATCTGTCACCTCAATGTTCCAAACACTAGAATATTCTGAGATTGAGGGGGGGGGGGAGCCTCAAGTAAGTTCTCATCCTCTTCCAGCTCACATTCAGTGCCGATTCTAATAAAATATTAACACACTCGGTCCATCTTCAATACTACACCACAAACTGGATCCTTTCCTTGCATAATTTCAATCCTATTGACCCTTCTAATCACACGAACCACTATTGTTTTGATGTTTTGGTAGCATAACTGTTAACCTGGCAGAGTTTGTTGACAGTATAACTGTAGCACAGCTAATGTCAACATGACCTGATATGACTCTTGAGGTCCCTGCCTAACACAAGAGAACATCATGGTGCATGAACAGTTGTATGATAATATGCAGGTATTTAGTTTTTGTCAACAATGGATTAACCGTCACCTAAGTACATGGATTAAACAATTTCCCCTCAAACTTAGTTCTCCTTCTTTAACTTTTCTTTAGGTGTTACAGAGTGTTAACTGTATTTAAAAAGAGAAGTTTTACTGTTAGTAGCCAGAAGGTTGTTGACTCTTATGCTTCAACACAGAGCTAATACCTTCTTCCTCCAAACAGACAATTTGAAATTTTAATGATTTAAGATAGGAACTATTTGCGGCAAATAAATGTTAATGTAATACCAGTGATCCTCTAATCTCTGATAATGCTATCTATTTCATGATATAAAGTCACATTCACGAATGGGAAAATAAAAACTGCACCTGATATTATATATCCAAATATGTTGCTCCAATGTACATTCAAAAGGTCGTAAACCTCTCAACTTGAACTAACTTTCCAAACTTTCCCCAAATTCCACCTCCCTTTATCTTTTGTTTTGAGCTAGAGCTACCATAATCATGTCTGATCCAGTTACATTCTGAATTTAACTGAAACTTGAGTATGGAAATGGATTGCAGAAGTCAGCTAGCAATTAAATGAGCAGATTTCCCTCCTAAACCACTAGTTTCCTTTGGTACGTGCCAAGACAGGATAAGGTTTATTGCGGGACGACTTTGATACAGGGCGGAAATCACAGAGGCAGTCCGTTTGATTTCAACTTAGCAGGTCAGATTTTAAAGGGAGATCGAATGGCTTACTTTCAACACCAAGTTCGATACATTCAACCCAATATCAGACATTTTTTTAGGCTAACACAAACCAAATTATGAGCGGAGGAATTACAGGGAGAACCACACATTTCATCATAGAGAAATGATTCTCTTGCTAATCCTTTCAATTCCGTTAATATTAAGACCATAGATCATCATGGATACATCTAGTCCGAGTCTTTCAATTGTCCAGCTACCTATCATTTCTATGTTCTGAGTTGCAGACTACCTAAATGAGACAGGTGCAATTGGCTTTTAATCTTAGACAGGGACTATTCAAATTTTCATTTACAAAAACAGGAAGCTTAAATTGTACAAAAATCTCTTGGAAACTAGATTCTCAACTATACAATTAAAAAGAAAATGAACACTTACAAGTGTAGGCCTACAATGTATATAAAGTGTGTGAGCTACAAAATTTGCAAGGATGGTACACAATCAGACAGTTTCTTTTTCATAATACATATCTTCCATTCGGAGCAAGAAGGACATTAACTTTTAACATTTCATACAGAGTTAACACCCTTCCAGCTCCAAACAGATGTTACAACAAAACGTATTTCACAAATACTGCATTGTGCATGTACAGGTCCAATGCAGCAGCACAATGTGTACATTAGTCTATCATCCGCATAGCACGCCATAATGGAATTGCTCCCCCAAGGTAGAGGGGGCGCACCACGACCATGTCTGCCCTAACTCAACCGCACCATTTCACAACCAGTTCCTGATAAAGCTATTTGAACGCTTACCACGCCTGTGGCTCTTTTCCCTTAACTGATTTTTATTGCTCTTGAACGTCATCGGTATTCGAAACCTATGAAAAACCTTTGAAATACAAAAAAGCATCCCTTTGAAGTCACAGACAATGGGGTTTTTCCAGCGATTTAGTCTCTGTATTTCCATTGTGGTTAGGATAGGGCTATACTTAGAGAGAGGGAGAGAATGCTACATTCTGTTTAAGTTACAGTAGTCGTTTGAGTACAGCTGCAAATGCCGCAGAATTTCAATGGGGTGGGTGGGAGACAGTAGCTTAAAGGAATTGAAAAAAAATGAATGCATGCATCTCACAACGTTCTTGGCTTATAAAACATTAAAACCTTACAATGGTCTTCATGCCATAGCCTGGCTAAACTGGCAGGCCATGGCTGTTACTGTCGTATGCTACAACAGTAAAAGATAACACATGACGGAGGCCCTGCACTTATAGCGAAGAAGAAGAAGAAGATTAAATAGCATTTTCAAGATAAAACAATGAATTTGCAAATTAACAATCAATATCTTTATGTTAGTCTCCCATTTTGTCATAAAGTAGAGAGAAAGTAAAGCTATTATGAAAAATGTATAGAAATGTAAAATCCAAAGATAAAAATATTTTAAAGTACTTACCAATTCTGCAATATTAGTTCCTCAGTTTGTAAATACTTTATCCAAATTAGATCAATTATGCTGAGAATTCAACAAGTCAAAATGGCACACTGGCCAATAAGTTTATGATTTATATTCACTTTCCTTCTGTTTCACAAGTTTTACAGTATGTACTCCTTCCTAAAGTTCACCACTCCTGGAGACAGTACATCCACAATTGGTAATGATCCAAGGAAGATAAAAATAAACAGATGCGGTTCAAATTTGCATATTCATGAGGTTCCGAAGAGTTCCTCTCACAATGTCCAAGTCTGAAGACGTTGTTATCTTCCAGTAGAATGCTGCACACTGATGAATAGCTATGATCCACTCGTGCACACTCTCTACTGAAGATACAACTTTGTCTCTTCAAATATGAATATTCACAATGTCAAGTATGAATATTCACAATTTCAGGAATGAATATTCATGAGGTTCATCCCGTCGCATCAGCATCTGCAGATAATCCTATGAACAATGATTGCTTGCTTCAGTTCAAGATTTGCATAAATAGATGTCTATTTCCTGGCTTCTGGATGCTTTCCAAGTAAAATGTAATCCAATCTGATTTAAAGCTGGATTTCCATGAGGTCTATTCCGTCTTGCACACATCAATGAGGTATTAAAGGTGGAAGATCACTATCCTGCAGAAAGAATAGAAAAAAATGGCAGACAAATTGTTAAAAGTCAACATATATCAAGAAATATGACACAAGTCTAACCTACCATCACATGCAATCGTAAAATATTTCTATAACACAATCATGCGTGAATTCTTTGTCATAGTGATGAGCTTTCAAAACAATTAGATATAGTGATGCTCGAATGCAAGGCATTTTGCTATCAATAAAATTAATGTTTCCATGGAAAACGGAGTTGTAAAAAGTTAGATTTGAGAAACTAAACATGAATAAAATTGAGATGTATGCAACATGGTCACATCCATAACAAATGCCAAGATCTTGTTTAATGAAATCGCAATTTTGAAAAGGGTGGCTGATGTAAAAAGTTACATTACTTCACCATACAACGAAATGGAAATCTCGCACTTAAACTACATGAGTGAATAAACCTAATGTAAAAAATTATATAAATGTGTTGATAATGCAGTTTGTGAGACAAGTCAATTCTGTCTTTACAATCCAACTCTCGCTCTAAGAATTGTCAGACCCATTAGAATGATGAAAGGACTCGATTATGCTTGTGTGCTCCTGTCAAATGTCACAAATGTGTTTAGGGAAAAAATTCTTTATAATCATCATTATTTTCAAAGAATTCTAAGGAGAGAAATGTCATCATGCTTTTTGCTCTGAATCTTTTATGAATTGCTTCAAGTTCTGGAACACAAAGAAAGTGTTACAAGTTCTGTCACCTATCATGAACCACCACAATAAGTCAGCCCATTTCCTTTCAACGAGGGTGAGAATCATGTGCGTCCTCTACAATACAAAACTTGAACAAAAGTCAAAATGGCATGCATGTGAAGATCCACAAAAGTCACAACCGTCAGAGGAAACGGATAAGTTCTGTATTTTTTCAGGAAGTTGAAGGGAAAAGAGATGGGAGAGAGAAAAGAAACATTTGTCCCACTGCGGTAGAAGTCAAACCTTTCCAGTGGAGCGGATATAGGCGTACTCTGTAACATGTCATGTACAGAGTGTTGTATGACACCTCAGGAAATTGTAAGAATTTAACCCAATTTATAAAGGGATTTTCTAAAGCAAATTCAGACTAGTGTCAACGCTCTCACAATTATTAGCAAGTTGCAACTGCCTGCTCGTTCAACTCACAATCTGTTCAATATAGTAGTAAATTTCAAACATTTACATTTTGTACCAAAAACAACCATATATCAAAATATGATAATGGGCGTAAATGTTAATTACACAGATGATTCTTCATATAAGTTGGCTTGTGAATGGGTAATCATTAAAAAGACATGGGTGAAAATAAATCTTACAGAATGTAATAAATTTCTAAGCTTTAAAATGAAACACATTTTTGATATCTCTAGATAAGCATGATAAACATGCAGTCTAGAGTAAAGACTATCCCATCTTAATCCCAAAAAATAGAAGATAATAATCGTACTGAGGAAGGTAAAAAAAAAAATTCTATCTGGAATTTCACTCAAACTGGTTGAAACTGTGAGAGATCCAGAAATAACAATCAGTATGTGGGAAATAAACACGAACATATTGTACCAATATAGGAGCACCAGAGTTATTCATTGCCAACACAAACTTACTAAAAATAACCAAACAGTCCATCTTTTTGTCATTAATCTTATCCTTAACTAAAGCTTTAACAAAATGATTACAGTGGTACATACTGTAATAATCCTCCTATTGACCAGGCATCAGAGTGTACTAAACTAACATACAATGTCATTTCTATTTCCCTTCACCTTGAGAGATAGTGTTGCTCTTGTTTTCTTCTCCGGTGTGCAGGCTATATACCCTTATCCAAGGTCAAATAAATATTATACAGAGGCCGCGTCCATTCGATAACATCTCTAAATTCTCTATATATAAATCTGACGACGAGATCCAATTCTTCTTTTGTACTCAAATACCATATAAAAGGAGTGAGGTGTTTGTGTGTGTGTGTGTCCTGTAACCGTGAAGATAGCGCATTGATTTTCCTCACGCGTTAGGTAAAGTGTGAACACTGGAAGGAAATGCTTCATGTGAAATTCATTGAATTAATTTGAATCAAGGGTGGGATTCTACTTTTTCCAAGAATCTAATAGTCATTATCACACTCTAATTACACTATTACAGAGCAAACAAGGAAGTTATAAAATGGCAAGAAAGGGAATAATTCAGTAATTTTGTACATCATTGCAAATCAATTTTGAATGAAGATAATTTTAACAGATGCCCCTCCCCCCCCCCCAAAAAAAAAATATATATATATATATATACATATATATATAATTATAATCATAGTAATAATAATGATAAATAAAATGTTTTAAAATATTTACAAAAAATAAATTATCAAAAATACTCCTTAACACTATTAATGACATAAAGCAGCATATATCATTCCCATATCTAGAAATGGTCAATATCATACTAATATGATAACTGCTGTTGTTGTTGTTTTTTTAATACTGATTTTTACCTATTTCATCTTTGATGCAACCCTGCATAGAATAAAACCATACAAATAAATGAATAAATACATAAACAAAATGTATCATACAAACCATGTGAAAAAGCACTTCCCACAAATAAAGTGTATACTCTGAACATTTTTAATTGCAAGGATACATAATGCACCATCATTTACTGCAAACTTTATTACTACGGCAAGTCAAAATTATTCTGTCATTTTGGAATCCCATATGTCGCCAAGTTCTGTTGAGCTTTGAACATATATTGCATCATATCTGTTATTGTACATGTACTTCAGTCTGCTCCGATCAGCAATCAAGTAGGACTACATAGTTGATTTCCTGTGCTAAACAAGTTATCCAATAAAGTCTACTACTACTACTTCTACTACAAGTACATGTATGAAATTACAATTACCGTATCAGATACAGTCTATATTGAAATAGATAAATGGTAAATGTGTGTGTCAAATGAGCTTCAAATCAGCTATAAACCACACCTTTAAAAATATATCCCCTTCTCATTTGTTTCCATTTTTTGCAACTCATTGATGTCCCAGAAAGCAAAGTAGGGCATTGAGGAGCAGAGGCATCGTCCTGATAGCGATCAAGGTTTGACGAAGAACGACACAGGAAATCTTTATGATTGAATCAAAGAAATCAAATTAAAATTTGTTGCCAATTCAAACCCCATTCGTCTACCTATCCATCAACACAGGTGAAACATACCTCGTCGGTCGACTCACTCGGTCTACATTTGCTCATGCCTTGCGTTTATCCGGATGCTTTCATTTTTCACAAAAGGATCGAGATTGGTGGAGAAATGTACCTCAAAGGGAGTCATGTTGAAGGTAAGGTGATGAATTGGTGAAAGGTTTATGAATGAAGAGAATTTAAATATTGAAAGTATGAATAGTTAAGTTTTAGGGAGGATTAATCAATATAGGTACTTTGGTAGCCAAAAATGTAAGAAATTTGGTATGGCTTTTTAGTAAATTAATTAATTGTTTTTGCCATCATATATTAATCTACAGTCATGGCTCATAACGATATTGTTGATAGAGAACTTGTTTCATTTAAATAAATTAAACTACATTCATGACCAATATTGGTCTTTCTTGGTTTGCATTTTTATTTAAGCTGGCATTTATAAGTATAGTGTTAAAACAAACGGTAAATATGCGCAAAACTTGATTCAACTCCAAACTGGCATACATACTATTTTTATTGGAATGAAATGCAGCATATTGCCGCACTAAGCCGATGATAAGACAATATGTAAACAAGTAGGATTTCAGGTGCCTTGGAAAGTAGGGCTTGGGTTAAAGTTGCCTGGATAAAGATATATTACGTCACCGTACATGAAGTATCACACAATATTGTACATCTTGTATAACAGTAGGTAAAGTTCAGATGACAAAACAAAAGAGTTCATGAACAATTCGGGGGAGTAGAAAGAAATCAAGAAAAAGGGTCTTGCTTCTAGAGATGTATACAAAAAAATTGTCTCTTTGGAAACAAAAGGGCATTAACTCATAAGCTCCAAGCTCCTTTTATAACTGATCTTATAAAATAATTTGTTTTTTTCAATTTGCACTATTCAACTAGTTTTTCCATAAATATGAGTGCAGTACCTACAGAGACCAGATGAGTAAATGCAACAGTGGTGCTAGTGTTATATTGTGGTTGATTTGCTGGTGAGTTTGGAATGAACATGAAGTGATATTTGAAAGAAATTTGTGATTGGCAAAGTGCTTGTAATATTGTATTTTTAACGCTCCATGTGATTTTTTGTTTAAACAGACAAGATGTTTGACAAAAACTGTTCTCTTAAAGTCATAGAAAGATATCAAAAGTGTAAACAACAACAACAAAATACACAGATGCCATGAGTTATTTGCATGTAGCTCCAGTGAGCTCATAATGGCCTCTGTAAATTTAATAAAAGCTCTAGTTAAGAAAAGAATCATAACAATTGTTGCGAAACATATCCACATTTCCAGTAGTAAATCCTTAAAGAGCTCCCAGTAATGAAAAAATATTTTTTTCAACAAGTGTGAATCATCATCTTGTTGCAATAAAAACAGAAAGGGGAGAACAATATAAATATTGTATGGATGCATCTGTCCATTTCTCATTTCATATTCATGCTTGTGGAATGTCCCTTAGCAATTCACAATAATCCATACAGAGAAAATTAGAAGGATGTGGACTATTGTTTTCAATCTCTTAAATCCGCTTTCTTCCATGATCCCATTATTGATCTTAAACCCCTTTCATAGTGGCCTGATTTTCATCGGGTGCATCAGGACGCATCCGATGAAATGACCACCATATATGGTACAGAGGAGAAAAAGCAGATAGAATATGATGAAGCAGATAGAATACGATGAAAAAAAGAGAAATAGGCGATTAAATTCTCCTGCTCAAGATAGGATAAATTCTCTTTCTATCGGTGTGACTATGATAAAACGGCCAATATGAATGGGTCCGGGAGAAAAAACTGTTGAAAACACCAATGAA